AAAAAAAAAGCTCTAAGTTTTTGTTTTTTGGGTTTTTTTTTTTTTTGTTTGGGGGATTAATAGAGAAAAACAACCAATTCTTCCTTCAAAACTGTTTTTTCCCCTGCAGATACAATCTCATCACCATAATGTCATACCTATTCTGACATACTTTCCAAATAAATTCAGCAGCAGAGTTCACACCTGTGAATATTCTGCACATCTGCCATAATAATGACACAGAAGTTCATGCCAGCAGAAATGGTGCATTCATCTCACATTAGACCTACTTCTGCTCTCACTGAAGTCTTTGGGAGTTTTCCTATTGCTTTCACTCAGAGCGTGAAAAGCACAGGAAACAAAAATCAAAGCAAGCAAGCAACATAAGGAATAAACAAGGTACAAGCAAGAAAGAGTTACACTGCTGAAATAAAATATATGCTCCTAAGAGGCAGAGCCCCTAGTATTTCCATGTTCTGTAAAAGAAACAAAACAGGGCCTGCACCATAATTAATTTTTATGATAGAAAACGTGTAAATACGTTGAGTCAATGCACTTTCATTCCATACACTTCCAGCTACTCCACATAATATACCCTCTGTTCAAGTACCGATGAGCCAGAACAAGAGTCCTCACAGTCAAGTGGATATTTAATCTTGCAAGCTTTTCCTTTATTTTAAAGTGAATTTTGTTACACTTCAAAAAGCAGCTAGAAAGGCAGAAATAGGACAGGAGGAAATGGAATGAAGCTGCTCTGAGGGAAGTTCAGACTGGGCATTAGGAAAAGTTTCTTCACTGAGAGGGTGGTCAGTCACTGGAACAGGCTGCCCGGGGAAGTGGTCATGGCACCAAGCCTGCCAGAGCTCAAGGAGCATCTGGGTGATGCTCCTAGTCATATGGTTTAGCTTTAGGTAGTCTTGCCAGGAGCAGAGAGTTGGACTCCATGATCCTTATGGGTCCCTTCCAACTTGAGATATTCTATGATTCTATACATAAATGATACCTACAGAGAGCTTATGATAGTCATAATTTTTTTACTGACTGTAACCATTTGTCTCCTTTTCTCCAGGTTGTAGGGGACAAGTTGATAGCTGGTGGGCAGGGCTGCCACTCAGATGGATCTCAGTGGGCTGGAGGAATGGGCTGACAGGAACTTTCTGAAGTTCACCAAAAACATATGCAAAGTCCTGCAACTAGGTTGGAGTAAATCCATATTAAGGGCTGACTGTCAAAAAAGCATCTTTGCGGGAGAGGGCCTAAGGGAACTGATAGACAACAAAGTGAATATAAGCCACCAGTGTGCCTTTGAAGCAATGAAGGCTAACCACATATTGGGGTGTATTAGCAGTAGTCAAGGCCAGCGATCGTACCCTTCTAAATGGCACTTGTGAGAGGACTGAGTCCAGTGTGGGAGTCCACAGATGACCTACTGGAGTGAGTCCAGCCACCAAGACTGTCACAAGAAGATGCTGAGAGAAATGGATTTGTTCAGCCTTTAGAAGGCAAGACTAAGGGGGAGAAACCTTACTGCTGCCTTCAACTACCTAATGAGAGGGAATAGAGAGGAAAGAGTCATATGCTTCTCGGAGGTGAATGGTGATGAGAGGCAACAGACACAAACTGCAACAACAGAAATCCCAAATAGATACCAGGAAAAAAAAATCTCATGGGTCGCTGGTTGAAGGTTGGAACTGGTGCTGCGATATCTCTGTCCTTGGAAATACTGAAAACTTAAAAGGGCAAGATTCTGGCCAATGTAATGTAATTGGCCCTGCTTTGATGAAGAAGTTGGAACACATGATCTTGAGAAGTCATCTCCAATCAGGATTTTTCTATCATTGTATAAAAGTTTAGAGTATCCTCAGTGTAAATCTGTTTTCATCATGATTAAAATGCTTTTGAATTTGCTGAATGCTGAATATGATGTATCACAAGGTGGTATAACATAATTCAGATGCTTCAAAGAGCTCATATGAATGTGCTTCTGGCCCACAAACACCTTCACTAGCTCCACGGTGTGGTTAGCCATTCAGAGAAAAGTGTATTACTTTTTACCAATATCACAAATATGTTTAGATTTTGAAAAAATCCAACCTGTCATCTTTCCTTTGCATTAGCCACGGGATTGCAGAATGACATGGAGTCAATTTTCAAACATTTTCCTAGAGAATTCAGCCTCAAAATTTTATTTGAAGTCAATATCCAAACCTTTAGAAGTCTACCCACCACCACAGGAAAATGTCTGGCTTGGACCAGATGGACCACAGGCTTGGAGATTTGAAGAACTTGCGGAGATCCGCCAGGCCTGACCATTACTTCCTTTGAGAAGCGGGGCTTCATCTTTGACTCAAAAGTGAACAACATGATCCTCTTTCCCAAGGAGAACTGAAATCAAAGCATCTCTATACATATCTGTAAGAAGAGGCCATATCATACCTGTTGTATCCCTACAGCATTCCTGTGTCAGAAGCAAGCATCGATTTCAAACTGCATGGATTTGTTTTGAGTGGTGAGCCATTAAGCTGTCTCCCCACATGTCTGATCCGAACTCTTCCTTGTCATCTTGCAGAGGTAATAATTTAAACTGTAACATGCCTACACATAGTCCCTTACATTTCTCTCCCTCATGTTTTGTGCAAAATAGTGACTGCACGTGGGACAGGAGGACAATCAGTGCATCCTCTCTGAGTTTTAGTGAACAGTATTTTACAAAGTCCTTGGGTCAAATAAACTGCAACGTTTAGCCTGCTGGTATAGCCCCTCCAGGAGTATACTTGATAACCTGTGAGGGACTCTACCTTTACACAGAAAAAATGAGCCTCTCCAGGATACACGCCAAGTTCTGCCCATACCTGTCCTCTCACTCCTGCGTTCCTCCAGGTGGCAGGTCCATTAAAGCATTAGTGAGAAAAACAGGTGCTGGAGCGCCTGTCTGATGAAAAACACTGGCCATCTAGCAGACAAAAGTTAGTATGAAGAGATTGTCCTCAGGTGGAAGAGCCTGGGAATGAACCGGGACTGGACAAATCTAATACAGTTCAGGTCACCAGTATCCCACCACCTCAGGCTTGCCTTCCTCTATAACATCCGAATGCAGATGAACGGCTGCCTGTTATGGCACCCAGACACAGGGCCTGTGAAAAAACCCCTGAATTTTAACAAGTCTTTTGTTTCTTTTTATTTCTTTTTCAGTTAAAGTAATGACCTCTGAAACATAACCAGGAAGCAAAGCAAAGCAAACTGAAATGCATGAAATGAAGAACTACAAGGTTTCCATTATATTGTCATCAAATGGTGAGTTATTAATGTCAAGTGGGTTTTTTTGATCTGAGAGGTTTACTATTCCTCAAAATATCTCTACTATCAGCCCTAGAAATGTCTAACCAAGAAATAGGAATAATAACGACCTCCTCCCAAAGGGGGTATATCTGTAATGTTTCATTTGGGGTGGGTGTTTTTCCAACTCTACTTCAGGTAGCACTTAACACACTCTTAACATCCCTGTTCACTAACCTACTTTTGGCTCTGCAGACTTTATTAATAGACAGCTTTATCATAGGAACTGATAAATGTCACATCTTTACATTTCTCATGTCTGTACACAAGGAACCTGGAGCAAACCCAGGCATTGTTGGAACTCAGCTCTCAGGATGTTGTTTAATAAACAGAAATGAAATGAGCTCACAGAGCTTAGTCTCCCAAACGGTGTAACTGTGCGTTCAGTGGTACACCAGCTGGTTTCAGGTATGAGCCAGCTAGATGACAGCCCATTAGCCCCACTAGCCACGTATGATGACTAACCAGCTTTTCACCGCTAAATCCCAGTACTGAGCTCCTCTCATGCCTTGCTGTACCTACCTGCTCCATTTTGCAGGTCACGCTGACTTTCTGTGCAACTTGCAGCTCTCAGGAGTACTGCAATCTCCCAGGGCACAGTAGCCTTGCTGTGCAGAGGACAGGCTTCCAACATACTCTTGCTACATTCCCCCTGCCCCTATCTTCCTGAAGCTTGGCACACGCAAACCTGAAACCTTTCTGCACATTCGGGTGACCGCCACTTGCAGCAGACCTCCACCATGTTTTCGGTACAAAAAAAAAAAAAAAAAAAAAAAAAAAAAGAGGATGACATGGTCAGCATGATACAGCCCGAGAAGGTAGGATTACAACATCCACTCCCTCAAATTTGAAGATATTCAGTCTTGTCCTTTCACCTTTGCATCCTAAACGCCTGGCTGTGCCCAGAGGCACCCCGGGGGGGGGGGGGGGGGGGGGGCTACCACACCATCGCTGCTGGCTAGCTGGCAGGCGTGACCCCCGGCTTCCCCAGGCCGGCTGCAGGACTCGGCGAGGCTACTTGTATTTTTCTAACGAACGGTTTTTGTAGGGAAGATATCCTTGACGCGTTTAAAGCCCTTCAAGCGGGAGCCTCGCCCCCCGCCCCCCCCGGCCCGCAGGCTCAGAGCGCTCTGCCAGGGGCCGGCCCAGCCCCGGGGGCAGCAGGGACGGGCGCGCCGGTAACGGGGACCCTCCCCACACACCCGCCCCTCAGCGCGCCGGGGCCCCCGAGCGGCTCCCCGTCAATCACCAAGCCTGCCCGGCCGCTGCAGGCAGCCGGGGGCGGCCCCGCCAGGCCCCGCCTGCCGCGCACCTGCCGCGGGCCGCCCCCGGTGCCGGTGCCGGTGCCGGTGCCGGCGCGGGGGGGGCGGGCGGGAGGCAGGGCCGGGGCGGCGGCCGCCCGTGCCCGGCGTGTGCCGGGAGCCCGCCGGTGCCGCAGGAGGAGCAGGAAGCGCCCGGGCAAATCCAGCTTCGTTATCACATGACTCAGCAGCCGCCGCCGCCGCCGGGTCGAGTTCACCCCGCGCCGCGCCGGGAGGGGGGAAACCTGCCGCCGCCGCCGCCGCTGCAATGAGCCCGCGGCCCCGCCGCTGCCCCTGAGCCCCCGCCGCTCCCTCCGCCCGGCCCGGCGCCCCCACTGCGGAAGCGCGGCGTGTGTGTGTGTGTGAGGGGAGGGGGGGGGGCTGCCGGAGCCGCCGCCGCAGCGCTGCCCGCCGGCGCTCCCCGCTCCCCGCCCTGCGCGGCGCGGCGGCTCCCGCCGGCGGGGGTACTATGCTCACGCGAGTGAAGTCCGCCGTGGCCAATTTCATGGGCGGCATCATGGCTGGCAGCGCGGGCGCCGACCACGGCAGCGGCGCGGACTTGCCCCTCCGCTTCCCATACGGCCGCCCCGAGTTCCTGGGACTGTCCCCGGACGAGGTGGAGTGCTCCGCTGACCACATCGCCCGGCCCATCCTCATCCTCAGCAAGGAGACCCGGCGCCTGCCCTGGACCACGGGCTACGCGGAGTGAGTACGGGCGCCGGCTGCGGCGGGCAGGTGGAGAGCGGCCGGGCCCGCCCGGGCTGCCCCCGCTCCGCCGCGCTGCACCCCCCCCCCCCGCTGCTGGGCGCACCGGCGGCGATACCGGCTGACACCCCCCCCCTCACCCCCCCCCCCTTCCCCCCCTCCGCGCCCCTCCGCCTCCCGCGTTGCCGGAGGCGCCGTCCCGGGCCTGCGCGGCGCCGCGGGCGGCGGGAGCCGCGGTGCCCGGCCCGGGCCGCGGGTTTGCATCAGGGTAGGACGTTGCCGAGAGGCCGAGGAAGCGAACGGTCAAGTGGCCTTGGAAGTCGCCGCCGAAGAGGCCGGGACCCGGGCGGGCAGCACCGGGGGGGGGGGGGGTGGGTGGCGAGGATGAGGTCCCCGCCGGTGAGCAACTGTCTCTCTTATTGACTCGGGAATGAAAAGGGCTACGGATGGGAAACCCGCTTCGGTTTGCGCGTCTGTAACTGCTTCTCGCTGCCCAGAAGTGGTGAGACGAGGTGGGGATTGGGGCGCGTTCCTGGTGTCCTGGCAGCCGTCGCGCTCGCTGATGGTGGCTGGTCACTTGTTTCCCCAAGTGCGTTCCAGTTTCGGGAGGCACTTGAGGAACATGACCTCCAAACAGGGGAAAAACGCAGTGGTGGCCAACCCCAAAACTGGGCTATCCCAGCTGTTTGTTGCCCCGACTCACTCGTGTCACGGTGTTTACTTGAGAGGGTGTCTGCTTGGGACTTGGCGGCGTAGCCCCGGGTACAATCAGAATGCAGGATTGCATGCAGCGCCTTAAATACCAGCCAGGCGAAGGGCAGCGTTTGTTTGGATGCAGATCCTCATCCCACTGGCGGTGGGAGTAGCTGCGGAGGCAAGGCACGTCCTTGCACTTGATTCCGGTATCGGTAGACACGTCGTTTGCTTTGATGATACAGGGGAGCAGGATTCAGTATTTGGTTTCTCTCTGCTGCTGTCTCTAAGTCTTGAGCATACCTGGCCATCCATGTTGCTGCCAACTCACAGATTACAGAAGTTACACTAAACTAGCTCTTTCAAGCTACAAGCTGTTTTGCTGTCTCTTCAGGCGTACATGAATGCCCAACAAAGCTACAGCAAAAACTACGTTGAAGGATTCATATTGTTAATGAGCAATCACTAGCTTTATTTAAAAGGTTGTTGCATCATTGGGGACACTGAAGTGGAAAGAGAGGTTTAAAGAATTTTATATTGGATTGTTCTCTTCAGATTATTAAAGAGTTGAATAGACCACTGGGCAAATTCCCCAGGAACTATAAATGTTTAAAAGTAAGCTCTAATTGTTCTGCTACTATAATAGTCCCTTAAAAAGCAATTCTTTAGCAACGCATGTAAGTGCTGTTATTTTTAGCGTACGTGAGGTGCTGCGGCTTTCAGCAAGTAGCAGTAATTGCAAGTTGATGACAAAGTGGAAGGGAGGTTCTCTGGCTCCCAGGTATGTGCATCCACTGCTGCCTGCGAGCTGTGCCTGAGACTGGGAAAGGAAAACGTAGGTGCTGGAAAGTGAAAGCCCAGGTCGAACCTGTAGATGAAACCTGCGAGGGAGTGCTTGGAGATAAAGTAAATGGCTCTGGGGATCACGAAAGGAGAAGAACATGTCAGGATTGTTTTCATATACTTGTTATTCTTCTGAGCTTTGAGCAATTCAGTTAATTGGGAGGCGTAAAAAAGTCACTGGCTTTCTCTTTTCCTGTTGTTATCTATATGAAAAGTGGTTGGCCTTTTGCTTTATCTATGTTTTTTTTTGTTTTGTTTTGTTTTTTTTTTTTTCTTTTGTCTCATCTCCTTCCAGTGCAGTTACTGGTTCTAGTGCTGGTGTAGCAGAGCTCAGTGAAAGGTACTCTTTCTTAGAGAAAGAACTAGTGAACTTGTTACCAGGATCTTCCCAGAAACATCTATATGATCTTCCAAAATGGGGTTTGGTTGTAACCAGAAGATGTCAAAATGTTCACTGCACAGAAGATAAGAGGAAAGCAGTGCTACCAAAATTGCATTGTCCTCCAAAGGCAAAGCTATGCAACAGCCATTAATGAATAAAGAAAAAGAAGAAAATAAGGACAAACTTGGGTTTGGCCCAACATGACTTCTTTTTTTTTTTTTTTTTTTTAACACCTACTGAACTATTATCAGGCTTTCTGAAAATAACTGTGAGACTTGCTTGGAGGTATGCTTTCAAAATATATGTTTTTCCTTTTTGGAGCACATTAGAGTTATATAGAGAAAAAAAAAAATAGAGAAATACCAGGTAGGTCAAATTACTATAACACATGTTCTGAAGTTTGTTTGCTTGGGGGAAGCAGGGGATGAAGTGCTTTTATGCTATTATTTGGCACTGTGTTAGCATCTATATTAAGGAAACTTCCAGAGCAGTGTTCGCCTTTTGTTACAGTACAAGTGAGCACTTGCAAGAATGTTAGGAGGAAGTCTGGTGTCCTCACAAGGAGCTTGTGACATAATACAAAGGTCAGACATTTAACTGACATTTTACTAGTTTTCTTTGATATGAAGGAACCAGAACATATGTGCCATACCAGCAGTGCTGTGAGGTCCAGCCTCCCTGCGCTATTGCCTTTTCCATGTTTCCATGTTCTAGCAAATCAGCAAACGTGATTCCAGTGTTTTGTTGGCAGGGTTGCCTTTGGGCACTGGCATTTTTACTACTTGAAGTTAAGAAGTTTGTTGTAGACTTAGAAGATGGGGATTTGGCCCAGAAGGTGTAAGGAGAGAGTGTGCGCCACCTTTCCTGTGTCTGCCCTGATGTCACGGGCCATTCACACGGCGGGGTTTGAGTCGGTGTATTTGTGCTTCGTGCACACCAGCATCTGTCTCGCTGTCTTCAGGGAGAAATTTTGGCTCTGAGGATAGATCACCTGGAGGCTTTGGCTCAGGGCAGACAGCGCTTGAAATTTTCATGTTCTTTAGTTGTAAAACATGCCAGTTTACAGATGATACTGGAGCTCCTTGATGTCGTCACATCGGTGTTTCATCCAAGCTGGAGAGGGCATTTCGAGGTTAGACCTGATTCTCATGCAGGACTAAAGCAGTCTGAGTCCACAAAATATGTAGGTTTTTTTCAGGGACTTCCTCTTGGTCCTTTGATTCCAAGATAGGGATTTCTCGCTAACCTAGGTAGTGATAAAGAAGCCCATATTGTTGGCTATTTCTTCTCCTTCATATCTATGGTATATGCCTGTTCATCTGACTTGTTCCTCTGGAACGAGCACTTCTCCTCCCCTTCTTCTTGCTTCTCATGTACTGAACTTTTTTGTAATGGATATTTTTGCAATATTGCTCATCCATGTCATATATTTTAACTTATTTTTTAAATTACCTACTTATCTCTGTGGTATTATGCAGTGAAATGTAAATTAGCCTTTATTTTGTATTATTAGCTTCCCCTCTTTTAATAGTGTGTTCATTATGCAAAGCGTGTAGGCAGGCAAATGGAATCTTCAGAAACATACTAGGTGCTGGGATAAACCATCATTGCTTTCTGAAATTTCAGTGGGAATCCCATAGCGACTCAGCCTTCCTTAGTTGGTGAGAGGCCTGAAAATTGTCTTCTGAAACAACTGTCCTGCTGTCTGCTTCTTGCACAGGAGACCCGAGACAATGAATTTCAGTTCACCTCCTGCTACAGGATGGCAAAAGGCCAGTAGATGGTTCAAAGAGATAGTCTTATGCCACAGACACTGTTCTAAGGGTCATCAAACTCTGTAGAGGCAAAACGAAAATGGTATCCCACATCTGGTAAGCTTTTAAATTGTCTTTAAAGGTATAATTTTATTTAGAAATAAACATTTCATTTTTAATCAAGGGCATCCTTAACATCGTTTTACTGCATGTGGTTGGCTGATGTGCATCAGGAGTGACCTGGGGAGAGGGTAGTCTGTTAACAAACATTCCTTTAAGTCTGCCTTTAATCTAGAGGGGTAAGGAGATTTGCAGCTCTCTGGAAAGTTAAGTGATTTATTTCAGTAAGGAGGTTGGGGTGGGGGGAGGATCCTGCCTGACACTTTATTTACTCGTTGCCCTTCCTCCCCTCCACAGGCAGCTGCGCTCTGGAGGCCACAGGGCTCTTCCAGACCTTTCCCTGTCTGAGCTGCGAGCTGGTTTCTGAGTTTCTGCTTGGATTGCCCTGTTACTGGGAGGGAGATTTCTTCTCTAGTCCCTTTCTGTGCTGTTCTTAGTGTGTTACGACTTCTTCCCTGCAGAGCTGCTGCTAAGTTGCCCTCCGCTCCTGCACTGAACTCAGAAAGTAACTGGCAAAGTAGGGGCAGTGACACAGGTGGAGTACATAACATGAAATGACTTAGATGGTATTCACCTGCATCCGAACTCTTCCCAGAACATTATTTTTCACATTTTGTTCTTTCTGCTTTATCTTGTTTCCCCTGTGAAGGTAGAGGATGAGCAGGGTGGAGCAGAGCCTTCCTCTCCTCGTTGAATTCCCTGGACTACATATGGCGCGACAAAATAGATGCTAAATTTGCAGATGACAAAGGACTAGCCTGCTGCTCATGCTGGTGGAGTTGCAGGGAAGCTGCAACTGAGTAGCGCTTTGTGGTAGAAAAACCAAGACTAGTTATTTTCCATCTGTTTTGAATGTGTATTCCTGGTAGTCCAGAATTCAGTACTGTAACGGCTTTTCTAAATTGTATGAATCCTGGGGATGGGACCGTAGCTAGCTGCTTCTGTATTGCATGCTTTCCTCTCTTTACACTTATATTTCTGCCATCTCTTCAGAGAATATCAAAAGATGCTATTAAATACACTTAAGGGAAACGAGGAAAGTTTCAATCGTATGTTGTCTGTGACCTTATGCAAAGGACAGTTTTGCCTGCCTTTTTTTATTAATTTTTAAAAAACTTCTAAATGATACTTCAGATATCTTTGCAGTTCCGTGTTACAATAGGTAGCCAGCAACTTAACTTTTGTGGTGTGTGTGTTTCTTTGCTTAT